CCGGGCTCTTCACGGTCATCGCCTTCATGCTGGCCTGCCTGTGCTGTAAGAAGGGCGGCATCGGGTTCAAGGTGAGGGCTGGGGACTGAGGGGGCTGTGGACGGGGCACCGAGGGCCGGCCCTCTGCTGTCCACTCAGCACTGGGCTCCCCTCCCTCCTGGGGACCGTAGGGACCCGACTGGGGTTCCCACAGCCCCGCCTCTGCTGTCGGGGGCTCTCAGGAGCCCTGCCCTCTGCCTCCCCCATGCTGGGTCCCCCTAGGGTGGCATGGCCTCATGTGCCAGCTTCAGGTCAGACCTCTGTGTTCGGTGCATGGGTCAAGCACCCCAGGACAGCGAGGATGGGCCTTGAGGGGCTGCCAGAGCCCCTGGGCCTGTGTGGGCCGGGCTCTATGCCCAGGGGGTCCTCGAGTCCCTGCTCTTCAGACTCACAAGGGAAGCCAAAGTCGCTTAGACTTCCTGGCACCAAAAACACGTGGCCAGCTGGAGTCTTTGGACATTTCCTGCCCCCCGAGGAAGGGACCGTGTGCCTCATAGGAATGGGGGGATGGGGCAGCAGGAGCGGTCATTGTCCTCTTTTTCACACTGCTAGATGCGGGGTCTGCCTTCTCTTAGGCTGCCCTCCCAGGGCTAAGCTCCCGGGGTTGTCCTGGGCTGGTTCCAGGGCTGAGGTGCTCCTCCTGAGGATGGCCGAGGGGCATCCACTGGGGTGCTGTTCGCCAATTCTGCAAGCACCTGTGGCTGTCCCCCACATCCAGCTGCAACTTTGAGTGGGGAGGACCAGGAGAGAAAGCTGGGATCTGAGGACCCCAACCGGAGCCCCCGCCCCCAGCCCCGTGGGCCGTGTTCTGCCGATGTAGCACATAGCAGCCGGCCTTGGTCATTCTCCCGCCCACTCGTCAGCCCTGCCCTGGGCTGGAGGTCAGATTCCTGGGCCTGGCAAGCTTGGCAGGGGGCTGCCCTGGGCCCAGCACAGCGCCCCTTTCGTGTCCACGCTCCGTGACCCACATAGTGGCGTCACCCCCGTTTTAGAGAAACAGTGCTTGTCCTCGCCCGCTGGTGCACCTCATCACAGAGGGGCCAGGGGAGCTGGCAGCTGCCTGGGACTTGCCTTTTAAGAAGGTGGCTTTGGTGCATTTCACGGCAGGGCCGTCCTCCCGGAGCCCTCCGAGGGGTCGGCCAGGGAAGCTGAGAGCTTGGGCAGCAGGGCTGTGGTCTCAGGTGTCCTCGCGCCCGGCCGTGGCGAGCCGGCCTCCCTGGCCTGCGGGCCCGCAGTGCACTGGGCCAGGCAAGGCTGGCAGGATGCCGGGGCCAGAGCGGCGAGGTTGTGGGGGTGCTGCGGTGGGGCGGGGGCTCAGGGTGGGGCTTGTGGCCATTGTATAAGTCAGCCCCTCCTCAGGGCCCTGAGAGAACAAGGCCCCAAACAGGGGCCAGTGCCAACCCTCCTACCAGCGCCCTCCTCACCTCCTGGGGGACATGGTGCTGGAACATTCCAGCACCAGTGCGCCTTGGTGGGAGGGCCTGCCTGGCAGCCTCCTGCCTAGGCCCTGGGGGCCGGAGCTGTGCTGGGGGAGGGGCTGGGCGGCGATGCTCACACTGTCTTACCTGATCGCCCGCTGTGCTGGCTCAATCCCGCGGGCCTCCAGGGGGCACTGTCAGGTAATGGGCTGGGGCCAGGGCCGGACCCTGGTCGGGGTGGGCGGGCGTGTGTCCTCTGCAGCTGGGCTTACAGGGCAGCAGGGTGGCCTGCCAGGCCTTGGGGATGGGAGGCACTCAGGCCCTGTCCACCCAGTGGCTCTGTCCTTTCTGGGTACAGACTGGAACCGGCCTGCAGGGACACCGCAGAGGGCTCCCAGCCTCTCTTGCAGCTGAGAAGACTGAGGCCTGGGGAAGGAGGGTCCACAGGGCTGGCCCGCTGCAGCTCCTGGAAGTCCCTGGAGCGCTCGGGTCTGCTTCCCACCTGGCAGTGGGCTGTGGGGCCAGATGGGCCCACGGCCTTGTTACTATGGCTCCGCTTCCGACCCAGGGTTTCTTGGGCTGACTTGGTCTTCAGCTCAGGAGGGGGCTTCCTCAGACAGGTGTGGCAGCTGCATTTCAAAACAGCAGCCCGGCCAGGTGGGGCCAGCCCCAGTGCCCAGGGCCAGGCTCTCAAGGAGCCCAGGGGGTCGATGACCGCCTGCTGGCCTGGGTCAAGGTCAGGGGCGCTGTGGTAGGTGGCAGTGCCGGCCGGGGGTAAAGATGGGGAGGTGCCCCCAGGAATGCTCCTTGTCCAGGAGGGGCGGGGGCACCTGATCACTTGACCACTGGGGCAGGGTGGGTGGCGTGGTGGAGCCCCTGTTCTCAATCCCCAGCTGTGACTTGGAGGTGAGTGCCCCCCCAGCAGGGGGCCACGGGCACGTCCCGCTGGGTGAAGGCTGCTGGGAGTTGGGGGTGCTGAGAGGAGTTGGGGCCTGACTCTGGACGGGCGGGGTCAGCTGGCCTCAGCCTCCTGGTCTCTTGCCTCCAGCCCCGCACCACCCCCTGCCAGTGTGGCACCAGCACCGGCCCTTCCCCCCGCAGGGATGGGCGTGGATGAGCTGAGGCTGGGGAGGCACTGCTGCCCGGGGACTCATGGCTCAGGGCACCCCCCCAACCAGCACAAACCAAACCCCGCCCTCCTGGGGCAGCTGGTGTCCCTGGAGGGGGTGGCTAGGGGTAGGTTCTGTTCTCCACCCTGAGGAGCGAGGAGGTAGGTGGTGGGGGCAGCTGGCAGGGGTGCCGGTGGGAGCTGGGCCCTGGGAAGAAAGGGGCCTTTCAGAGCCTAGCCTGCACCCCGACCCTCCCCATCTCGGGAGCCTGGAGCTCACCCTGTGTGTCGCCCGTTTGGCCCAGGAGTTTGAGAATGCCGAGGGGGAAGGGTACCCGGCCGGCTTCTCGGCACAGGGCTCCCCGGCGGCGGCTCCGAGCGGACCCGACGTGTATGTCCTGCCCCTCACCGAGGTCTCCCTGCCCATGGCCAAGCAGCCAGGGCGGTCAGGTGAGTGGCCCCCAGGGGGCCCCGGAGATGGGTGGGGTGCCGCTTGGGGGCCTGTGCTCCTGGGGAGGGCAGCCAGGGGGCTGGTCTGGGCCCCCTTCTGCTGGGACCTGGGGCGCGGTGAGCAAGCCGGGACAGTCCCCCCCGCTTGGGGCTGCATGCAAAGGGGTGGCGTTGCTCCCTCCGGTCCTGGTACAGGCACCC